TTTCAAGAAAACATATAGAAATGAAACATTGTTTAAAGTTCATTCAGAACCTAGCCAATATGGAAACAAACCTACTTTTGTTTCTGCAGACGATGGAACTACAATGAGATGGGGTCATAAAGCTAATTCGGATAGGTGGTTCATAAACTTACAACCTCAATTCCAAGAAGTTGTAGACGCAATGGAAGCGAATGGTGAACGAGATATAGCTGGTATTTTCAGCGCGGCTTTAATGCCATTGAAAGATATGAAAGATGCAGATATTTTGGACCAGTATGAAATGAACATGGCTGATGGAAATATAACACCTGACGTTCTAGAACATTTATCTCAAAGAACTACACAGAACCATAGAGATGGTATATTTGGTGAAGAGTTTAGAAAGAAAGTTAGGGAGAGAGAAGGAAGAGAACCTATTGTACATGACCTTGCAAACGAAAGTTTACAAAATGTCATAAAAACTTACTTTGCAGACAATGAACCGAGAAGGGATGAATATTTAAGAAAACTCAAATGGACAGTACCAAATGAAATGTTAGTATTGAAAAACATGTTCCTTGACAAAATAAAACCAACTACAGAAATAAATGACGAAAGACTGAAAGATTGGGTAAAAGCTTTCCCATTCACAAAAGATATTGTTGGTAACATGGAAAGAAAACCAGAATGGCTACAAAAACATATATTTGGAAACGAGCTTATTCCATATGGACAGGCACTGTTTGAAGAGCTTGAACCTGAAACTCAGGAAAGAGTCATGCAAACAATACGCGAAGACTCAAATACAGACTATGACAAACTCTTTCTAGGATATAGGTTACCTGAGATGGGCGACCAGAGCCAAAAGGCAAAAAGGACATGGGAAATTTGCAACATACTAGATGAACATAATGCAAAGATGCAACAACTTCAAGCAGAGGGCAATGAAGGAAAAAGAAGAGTTAAAAACTCAGTCAGGAAGAAAGTAAAGCTTGGTCGGAGTGGGTTCTATTATGACATATAAATCCAACTATTCTATATTTTTACTCATATGAAATGTACGCCGCTCAGAATATAACGCCAACAGTTTTGGATGCCATGAACGGAAATGTTTCCGAATGGTATAACGAATGCGACAATGCCATTAGAAGGTCAGAAATAGTTCCTGGAACTTACGAATATACAACTGCTGTTTCTTATGGAAACGTAGGTGAGTTTGGAGAAGGTTCTTCAACAACAGTAGATATTGCTTGCGACAGGTTTCATATAATTTCTATTGACAACTCTTTCTTATACGTGGAACAAGACATTGAAATAAAACCTTCTGCCAAGTTGTCTGACAAGAAAGGTTGCAATGGAATTTTCTATGTCGGATACCAATATGCTCCAGAAGTTTTCATGGGATATAAGATATATTCTAACTCTGACTTAGTTCAAACAGTAACATGGGCAAACTATGAATGGTTCGCTTTGAGAAACTCAGTACAACCACAAGCTAGAGAACAAACAGACCAGTATGCAACTATTGAGAAAATAAGAAGACTTGACCCTAACGTTCCAGGAGTTTATGTTAACCTTTCTGGACAAACTGCAGCAGCAGTAACCAAAGTAAAACTGAAACTTAGAGTTCCTTTGTCATCTTTCCTCATCTTCAGGTTTTTAAGATACTTGCCAAACTGGGCAGGAAAAATTTCTATCGAACTTACTCCAAGCAAAAATAACTTAGTCATTGCACCAACACAAGACCCATTCACTCTTACAGAAGTAGTGGGAACAAATAAAATGTCATTCGCCGACTTTTGCAAAAACAAAGTTGACTTAGACTTTGGTTTCTCAAACCTCAACACTGAAGTAAACTATTATTTCAATGCTGCTGGAGATGCTTGGGACCCAGTTAAGTTCACATGCGAAAAATTTGAATGCAAGAGAATAGAAAGCAGACTTGCAGTCTATATGTTGGACCCAGATATTTCAAATGCTTTAGCTGCCAAATATATTGCAGTTCCACTTATGTTCCCTATACACCAAATATCTGTCAAAGACTTTGCAGGTGAAGTTGGAAACCAAAGTGCTGACCCAGGTGCAAGAACAGATATTGCTTTAACAACTGCAATGAAACATGCAGATACTATGTTTGTACTGTTCAGACGAACTATAAATGACTATTCTTGCTTCTACAACCCTGGTATTAAATACCATATAAACATAGATGGCAAATACTATCCAAGAGAAGAATATTCTACAGTTGAGGATATGAGGTCATACAACTTGACATTAGATGCTATGAACTTTAACAACAACTTCACAACAACTATTAACCCTGAAATGCAAAGTTCTATTATGCCATATGTGAAAGTATGGACTCATACAGGAGGTCAAAAAACTCAATATACAAATGGAGACCGTTCAAACTTTTGGCTTGGCATTCCATTTGCTGACTCAGAAGACTTTATGGGTGGTATTTCAACTGTTGGTACAGTTCAAATACAATATACTGGTGACAGAGACGGTCCAGATGAATTGAAAGCAAAGAAGTTTACAAAACCAATAGCACTTTTCACGGAAGATGCTCTTTTGAAGATTCGTTCGATGAAACCTGCTGGGGCTCCTCAGATTGGCATAACGACAGCTTCCATCGAGCAGATTTTGGCAGCAGGTCAGTAAGTTGTTCTTGAACTGACTTCTCTCCGTCAAATATTGACAGTACGCCAGTTTTGACATAGTATTGTATTATAAACTTACCTTTAGAAATATCGGTCAGTTTTGTTGTTATATTTTTGTCTGCTTCAAGAACTTTCACCATTTCAGTTATACCAACTTTCTTTGCTTTATGAAAATATTTTGGTTCAGCAAATATTGCTATTCTATAACATTTACCATTGTTTGTATAAAGAACTATTCTGTCAATGTATTTGTATTGTTTGTGTGTGTAAACTTTGTTCTGCTTCAATTCGAAGAGATACTCGAATACGTCCATCTTTTTATTCTAAGTAAAATGTCATTTCCGAAAAATAGAAGCGTAAGTGTTTCAAAAGGTTTAATGGCGGTGGCAGATGTGAAGTTAAATTCACCAACTCAAACAAACAGTCAAAGTGTTGTTGTCAATGTCAAAGAAAGAGATGTTGAAGTGGGGAAACCATACGAAGACGAAGATGGTATAACAATAGTTCCTGTAAAAGAACAACCAACATACCCTGAAGTTAGCAGAGACTTAAGTTCTGTTGCAGATATTCGAAACGACTACCAACAACTTAAAGACAAACTTAAAACTCAGGAGAAGATTTGTCAAGCTTTGGTATAATGTTAAACTTGGTCGAACACAACCCTGTAAAAGTGAACTCATATGTCATGCACCTCATGAAATTTTGAAAGAACTATTGAAACTTTTGACAGAGGCAGACGATATAAACATCAAAGAAATAGAACCCGACATTGCTTGCTGTGGTGTTTCATATAATGTCATTGACAAGATATACGTTATGAAAGGAGGTGAAACGTTGAACTTAAAATATAGTTTCCCAGACGTCATAAAAATATTTGACGACCACAACATTTCATTAAAATTTACTTGCTAAGTAAATGGCAGAAGACATAGTGGTTTATACTATTACGACTAAAAACCCTGAGTCATATAATTCTATAACAACAAACTTACAAAGTCCTCAAGGACGATATTGTAAACTGACCTTAAACACGATGACGACTAAAGCCTGTTTTGCTCTTTTGACACCAGAAGACTTTGTTGTTGTGAATGGTAAAAAATACTTCTTTGAAGATACTTACTCAGATATACCACCAACAGGTTTTGTTGACTTATTTAATACTTTAAGGACGGATGTAACATGTGCTGCAACTAGAGCAGGTTTCATTATGTTTGGATGTCCGACTGAGTTTAGTATAAACGATATGAGCTATAATACAAAACTTATATCTGGTTTTTACTACCAACAGTTTCCTATAACAGGAAAAGGTGTCATACAAGGTTTGTCTGTTCCATTGACTTTAAGTACACCTATTTTATATATTGTTTCAAACTTAGGTTCAAAGTGCTATTCGAATGTCGACAGAAACTACTATGACCAAAAGATACTCATGCGTATAAACAACACTTTCTCTGCTGGTTTGCCTATTGTTCATTCGAATGCAGAGTTTTCAGCTTTAGTAAACTCAAACACTTTAGCAAACATAAACTTAACCTTAGTTGACGCAAACTTTGTTCCTGTAAAACTTTTATGTCCTATGTATTTGTCAATGACGGCAGAAAGTTTCGAATTGGAAGATGCAACTGGTGAAAGTATTGTACTACAAGAACAACTTCAACAACAAATAGCTCAAGAACAACAAATGCAACAAATGCAACAAATGGAACAAATGCAACAACAAAGTCAAGAATAAAAAAAATATTTTTTTTATTTTTATAAAAATGTACAGAATAGACGTTTCAGATTTTTATGACTTCCAAGCGTTCAGAAATATGTGTCCATTTAGAGACTATAACAAAGCAGTCGAGAATTTGAAACGTTTAGTCATTTATGTCGACTCTGCCCCAGAATGTTATGTCATGAAAGAATGGGATGTTGTCTTTAACAAACCAAGAGCAACAATAGTTTCAGAACAAGAATGTAGACAGAAACTTAAGAAAATAAAAGTCGTACAAGTTGGTATGAAGATGTTAGATGCTTGGGATATCTTATTGTCAAAGTTAGAAGATTTTTCAGTTCGTGGTATAAAGTTCTATACACCATCTCCAAACTTCTATTCTATCTTCACTGGATATAAATACGAACAAGTAGAATGGAAAGAAAATGTTATAGAAGCTTGGTTAGACCATGTCAAAGAAATTATATGCAATGGAAACGAAAGAGTCTATGAGTATATCTTATGTTGGTTTGCAAACATCTTACAACATCCAAGTGCTAAAAATGAAACTGCTCTCATCATAATTGGAAAACAAGGAACAGGTAAGAACACTTTCTTTACAGATATCTTATGCAAACTGTTAGAGGGCTATTCGAACCCGAATATGACAAACTTAGAAAACATCTGCGGTAAATTTAACTCTTCAATAGAGAATATGAAACTTATAGTATGTAACGAACTTCAAAGTATAGATACAACAAAGGTTTTAAACTCAGATGCTTTGAAGAGTCTTATAACAGACAAAGTTGGAGTTGTTGAAAGAAAGTATAGAGACCAAAGAGTTTGTGAAAATGTTGCAAACTTCGTCATGGTTTCAAACAATGTTGTTCCGATGAAGTTAGAAAGTTCTGACAGAAGATATGTAGTTGTCAGAACGTCAGATTCTCATATGCAAGATACAGAATATTTTGACGACTTAGCAGAAACTTTGACACCTAACTTTTACAACCACTTGTTCTCATATTTCATGACATTAGATATTTCAAAGTTCAATCCAAGACAAATTCCACATACCGAAGAAAGACAAACATTGTTAGAAGCAAACAAGAGTGTATATGAACTGTTCATAGATGAGACTAACTTTGAGTGTTTAGATGAAAGGTCATTGTACGATTCATATAAACAATATTGTCAAGAGTATGGTTATATGGCAGCTTCTAAACGTACATTCTTGGCAAATGTCAAAAATCTTTTAGACATACAGAACGGCGTATATACAAAGAAAAATTTTTATGAGTAAATTTAAAAAAAATATTTTTTATCCGATAGAAAAGATGACGAAATATATTTCAGTCAACAAGTACATGACAGAAGTCAAAGAAGAACTAGACCCATTCGCTTATTTGAATGTTTACTTCTACCATTTTGAAAAGTCTACATTTGACAAAGTTTGGAACATCGAACCAGTTAAGTTTGCTATTGTGACTAAAAATGGTGCGAAATTTGAAGACTTAGACATAGAAGGTTTGTTAGCAGTCAAAGAAAATTTTGACAGAAGGTTTTCAAACCTTAAAGAAGGCAAAGCATACAAACTTGTTATACCTTATGAACCAAAGAAAGCAGACGACTATGAATATTATGAGTCTAAGATAGTTGAAGTTCAAGGTAAATTGGGTAAAAAGATTTTAGAGTCTAAACCAGTGTTTGCTCCTAAAGAGGAAGAGAACATTGACATTGACCCAGAAATGTTCTAAAAATAAAATTTTATTTTTACATGTCAAATTTCTTTTTCTCTGGCTCTGGCTCTGGCTCTTTCTTCTCTTCTTCTACTTTCTTTTCTTTCTTTCTCTCTTCTTCTTCTTCTTCTCTGGTGGAGTTATGTCAAATTTGCGCAACCATATTTATGTAAAAGTCTTTGTCCTTTAATAGCTCTTCTATTCTGTTTTCTATTTCATCTTCAAGAACAGCGCATGTGTCTTCTTTGCATTCTAAGAACTTTTGTTGGACTTCATCTTTCCAATCGGCGTCATCTCTGTCAACAAGTCTGTCATTGACAAACTTAAAGACTTCTCTGCTTAATGTTTTATGGTTCTTGTCATATTCCCAGAAACAGAACTTTAGAACAAATTCACCTTTCTTGTTGACACTATGTAAGATTTTATGGTCGACAGATGTTTTGCTGTCGAAAAGTTTGTCTCGAATATAGATAGCGAAATCGCTAGACATTTTCTAAAAGATAAAATTTTAATTTTTCTAAAAATATGTTAGAAAAAAAGTTTGCTGACATTGACAAGAAATTTGAGAATGTTTTAAACAAGAACAAGAGGAAGTTAGAAAATGCTCAGATAAAGCCTATACATGACAAGTTCTTATTTGCTCAGAATGGTATAACAGGTCTAATTGCACCACCTGGGTCGGGTAAGACTTTCACTTATCTTAAAATGGCTGCACAACAACAAGAACTAGATGAGAAGAACCCATTCTATGAGTTAGTTGTCATTTGTAGTACTTCTGGTCAATTTGACCAAACCGTCAATTCGTTCAAAGATATTATAAAGAAGTCTAAGTTAGTATGTATAAAAGACTCTGAGTTGTTAGATTGGATAAAGAAGTACCAAAGAAGAGTTTGAAGTACAATGCTATAAATGAGTATGTCAATTCGAAGTTTAAAGACCCAAATGAGGAAATGCAGAGAATATTAGAGAAGAAACACTTCAGAAACAAACAGAAAGAGATAGAATACATTTCGAAGAAATTGCAATCTTACGATTGGAAGACTTACCCTCATAGATGTCTTCTTATCTTAGATGACTTTGCTTCTCATCCTTTGTTAAAGAACAGAGAACAAGACATGTGTCGAATTCTCAAGAAGCTCAGACACTTTAACATTTCAGTTGTCATTTGTGTACAGACAGCAAGAGTTTAAGTAAGGATGTAAAGAGAATACTTACTGATATCATACTTTTCCCTGGATTGTCCGAAGACGATTTCATGGAACTTATGAAAGAGTCCATGGCAGGTAAGTTTGACAGACATGAACTATGGGAGAAGTACAAAGTCATACAAGACCCTCATACTTCTTTCAGAATTCATATCTACGCAAACAAAGTTCAAATTGTAAAAAGTCAAGCTTGAAAAATAAAGAGTTTTGGCGACCAGGGTTTTTTCACTACTCGCTGTTCTTCATGAAATTTCATACGGAATTCAATAAAAATAATGTTTATGTTAGAATGTTAGATCTAACATGTTTTCTAACATGTTTTCTAACATGGTCTAAAACATACAAAATTCATGAAATTTCATACGGAATTCAATAAAAATAATGTTTATGTTAGAATGTTAGATCTAACATGTTTTCTAACATGTTTTCTAACATAACTATTTACAAGCGTTTTACATGGTATATGTTGCGATGGTTCATGACTCTAAACAATTTCGTAGCTTCTATTTCTTCTGTCAGTACATCGAATGTTTTAACGATACCGAAAGTTTCTTTATACTTCTTCTTGACGTCAGATAGAAGGAAATCGTCAGCAGTTGGATAGTTTTTGTTCAGAAATGCTAACATGTTCATTTTATCTTCTGCTGGCTTTTCTGCTTCTTTCTTTAAGTCTGCATAGTCGTTTCTCATTCTTTCTATCTCTTTGACTGAGTAGTTATATTTCCTCATTGCTGCTTTACATTTAGAACATTGCGGGTTCATTTTTGCGTTATATTCTGAAACCTTACCTGCTAAAACAACTAAGGCGTCAATTGCTCTCTTCATCTCGAACATAGCGGGTCTTATTTGTTCGTTCCATACCTTACCTCTTCTATCTTTATCTCTTATTTCCCAAACACATTTTGCAACTAATGAAACAAAGTTGTCGTAGGTCTTAAATTCTTCGGATTTGTAAAGGTCAGAGATGTTCTTATATACCATGTCGCAATCTTTGTCCATAACCTTATGGTTGCAATGAAATCCTAGAAACTCATAGTTTACCTTTCGTATGAACTTCTTTATTTCTACTGAGTCAGTAACTTTAACTTCAATTTCGTCGAATTCAGGAATAGTGAGTTTTTGTTGTTGGATTTCAGGCAATTTGGGTAAATGGTCAATAATGTCCTGCATTTCATAAAGATACTGTTCATTTGTTTCATCTTTCGCACTACAGTCTAAATTACTTGTTAAAAGTTCTTGCTTTATCTTCTGGATTTTTGTTTCGAAAGTATATGAAGAAGGAATGAAGTTTTTCATCTCTACCAACATAGATGTTGGATTCATAACTAACGAGTTTGGTGCTGTAGTTGTTTGAACTGTTGTTGTGCCGATTGTTGAAATCATATTTTTTATACAAAATAAAAAAATATTTTTTTAAAAAAACCAACTTTATTTTTTATTTCGGGAAAACTCATGAAAATTCAAGAGTTTTAGACCATGTTAGAAAACGTGTTAGAAAACATGTTAGATCTAACATTCTAACATAAACATTATTTTTGCTGAAAAGTGTTATTTTTTCATGTCCGAAGACTCGAAGGTGCAACACTTCCAAAATACCGACGAACTCAGAAGAGCAGCATGGCAGTATCTTCTTGACAACTTCTTTGAGTTCTCCAGGCACACCTTGGAAAATGCTGAAGAACTCCGACACAGAGAATTTGGAGAAATTGCACTCCAATACTACCTTGACAAACAAAGGGTAAACAAAGGGTAAAATAAGACTAAAACTTAACGTTTAAAAAGTGACATTTTTATGAGCTCCGAGTCACCGAGAAAACTTGGTCAGATGTTAGCAGCTTACTTCCCTGAGGAGGATGGAAGCGTTACATACGTAAGGTTCAAAAACAACGAACCTGGAATTGCGTACCAAATTCGCAATTACATGACCATGGAAGAGTACGAAAGGTTTCTACAAGAGAAACCAGCTCTAAACAACTCAGAAAAGAAAGAATAAAAAGTTTAACTCGTAATTGTTTATTTTTTTACTTGTATGGGCAAGCTGCAAGAATGAAGTCGACTATCTCGGTCTTTGTCTTGACCAGTTGGACTGCTCTTGCGAGTACGTCTGTTTTACGGTCTCCAGCTGGTGTCTGACCTTCGTAATTGCGCATGTTCTTGAGAGCTCCAGTTGTAAATGGTTGTAGGATGAAGAGTCTCTCAGACTGCTTGAGGTAGTCTTCACGGTCACGAACCGAATCTGTGGTACGAGTCGAATCGGTCGATTTGAGGGAAGAGAGTGAGAGCCTGTCTTCTTCCATAGGGGCTGTGGCATACTCTTTGCGTAAACGGTTCAGACCTTCTTCGAACTCTTGGTCTCTCTTGGACTGAGATTGGAATTTGAATTGGGGTGGAGGGTTTGACATGAACATCCAAGGGTTAGGGAAGTAAGGCATGGGTTGAGGAGGGTAGTTTGGAAAGCCTTGTGGTGGGTAGTTTGAAAGAAAATGTGGTGGGTAGTAACCTTGAGGTGGAAATTGGTAGTAATTCGGAGGTCCTTGTTGGAAACTGAGGTTGCTGTGGGGAGCCTTTGTGGAGGTGGAACCTGTTGTGGTGCTGGAGCATGCTGTTCTTCTGGCTGTGGAACGGGTTCAGTAGGTGGGACGTCGGGACATTCGTTTGTGTCTTAACCGTCTTTGTTCTGAAACATAATAATATGTCTTGAAAAGTACAATATTGTCTTGAAAAAGTACAATATTGTCTTAAAAAGTAAGCAACATTGTCTTGAAAAAGTACAACATTGTCTGAAAAAGTACAACATTGTTCTGAAAAAGTACAACATTGTTCTGAAAAAGTACAACATTGTTCTGAAAAGTTCAAGACTTGTTCTGAAAAAGTACAGCCGTACTCAAATTTGAGAGACATAATTGTACTGAATTTATACAACATTGTTCTGAAAAAGTACAACATTGTCTTGAAAAAGTACAACATTGTCTTGAAAAAGTACAACATTGTCTTGAAAAAGTACAACATTGTCTTGAAAAAGTACAATATTGTACTGACTCAGTATGGAGCTTGACCCCTTAGACGAAGCAATTTATCTAATTGAGGTAAATGAAACCGTGAAGGAATATCTCAGCAAGTGCAAACCAAGCAAGTCCATTGGCTTCTGGTTGTCCAAGAATAGTGTCTTAAAGTTGGAAATTGAAACAGGTGTTGCAATTCAAGTTCCAGAAGGCACTGCATTCGATGATATTAAGGATGTGAAGAAAGAAGCCCTCTTGAAGTTCTTCATGAAACGTCCTTGGATACTACTTCCATATCGTGAGAGCCCAATTCCACGAATTACACAAATTCTCAGAGCACTACTTCACTACTCTGGACAGCCGTTCTTCATAACCTCAGAAGGCGACATCCAACCAATTCAGTAAACATCTCATTTTAACTTCACTTTTTTTATGTTTTTACTCACACTCGTACTCAACAGGTTTGTGTACAACTATTTCAACTGTGAACCTTGTATTGACCGGTCTTCCTGCAAATGCAAGTTCGGTCAATACACAATTTATGGTGGCAAGAAAGACAGTGGGGAATGTTATTCTGACATCTGTTGTTGCGCTCGAGAGAGAATTGAAATTCCAGACCCAACTCCAACAAGAACTCTCAAGTTGCCGAAGACTCATGTGAAGAAGAAGCCTTCTGGTAAGTTTCTTATAGCCATATACATGGCACGCTTTGAGTAAAAACATTTTTTTCATTTTTTGAATGAAGCAAGTTAAATTCGTCCCACACCAAACTCAATGGACCGATGAAGAGTTTCAAGCTATGGTTGAAGGTGTTGAGAACGACATAGACGGCGAACTTGAAGGAGCTCAAACCACAATTGCAACCAAAATTGCAGAAGTCAAGGAACAAATAGCTCCACTTAAAGCTACCAAAGCTACTCTTGACCTCATGGATACTTACCGTTTAGAAGTAAAGAGTGGAATAAGACAATTAAAATTAAAACTTCTAAACTACGAAGCTATACTCCAAAAGTTAGCAGAAATGAGAAGACTTTACCAGAGCTACTTACATGTAAGGGACTTACCTTCAAGCAGTCCGACCAAAGATGAATTTTCTGACATTGTCCCAATTTTGTCCGAAAGTCAGCTCAGATGTTTTGAACTGCTCCCAACATATCCAGAATATGAACGTTTGCCTGAACTCTTCCGCAATCTCAAAAAACGTTTTTTGGTTCTCATGTTCGAAACTTTTATCGGAAGAGACAACAAACGTTCAGAAGAAGAACAAGATATTATTTTAAACTTGTTGTATGACTTAACCGTCATAACAAGCTTTTTGAAGTAAAACCGTCATTCTCAAACCACTTCATTTTTTCGATGTCCGAACAAGCACCGAAGCCGAACACAATGGAAGATGTCCTTTCAATGTTGCCAGACAAGCGCCCAGTTCAAATTCAAATTTTGAATTTGAAAGCTCATCTGACAAACACCGTTAAGACTCTCCAAAGTAGTCTTATGGAAGAGATGAAGGGACTTAAAGGTGAGTTCCTCATGAACCAAGCTTCCAATGAGAAAGTCCTGAACGATTTGACGGAAACCTTGCGCATTTACGCGAGAGAGAACCGAGACCTTGCCAGACTCATCTACCGTTTCTTCGAAGAGATAGACGCCATCTGGAAGGTACTCGGAAAGGACAGAACCTCCAACACCGTACTTCGTGAACACAGAATTGCCGAAGGAATTGTCGAGGAAGAAGAGAAACACGAAGAAGAGGAAGAGGAAGAAGAGGAAGAAGAGAAACACGAAGAAGAGGAAGTTTGGGCAACCCTTGTTGCCGATGACACTTACGAAATTTCCCAACCCTACCCATACCAAATCCGCAACAAGGAGACCGGCAAGGTTCTTACCCCAGTTCTCAACAACTTGGGACACTTGAACCTTACCCTTCGGAATTACGGTTCAATCTCCATGGGCAAGCTTGTCGCAATTCAATGGGTTCCAAATCCAAACAAGAGGACGAAGGTCAGACACATTGACGGTGACAAGCTCAACAACCGTAAGGAGAACCTCGAGTGGTTCTAAGAGTAAAAAAATTTTATTTTAGGGGGAAACCCCGAGTAAATTTAAGTTTTTAGTTGCGTAAGCGGCTTAAATTAAGGATAATTTGGACAAGTAGTTCCTGACCTCTGAATTGGACTCTTTCGTCATCCCAGTTGCGTAGGAGGTCGTCCCAGAGGAGTTGGTAGAATTGCCATTCCAAGGACGATTTGTCCTCCCAGGCATTGAGGATGTACTGCTCGTAGAGTCTCATGACCTCTGCCTTGCACCAGACACCCTCTCCCTTGGAACGTAAGGCTTCTTCGAAGTGCTCGAATGCGATTGGCTGCGGGACCATCCGAAATGACACTTTTTGTCCGTTTGGTCAATGTTCGTGTCTCGTGCCATAGTCGACGAAAATACAGACAAACAGGTTATATATGAGTTTGAGACCAAGAATGGTGTAACTCGACCTGTCCGATTCAAATTCGAATAAAAATTTTTTATTTCATGCAATGTTTTATTTCTGTGCCGTCTTCAAGTATGCCCCAGTACTTACGCTTGGAGAGGACATGAACTTCGGTGAAAATTTTGTCCAATTTGAATTGACCCATCTTTTCACCGACCATTCCCATTTCAATGAGTTTGTTATAGCCTTCTTCGTTCGTCATGAGCGCATCGATGTTCTCATAGTAAACCTTCACTTTGGATTTAACTTCGGAGAAGAATTTGTTGTAGTTGTCAAGGACTGCCTTTGCGAACTGAGGGTAAGACCAATGTTCGACAATAGGTTTTACTGTGGTTACTAAGCCACCTTGACCTTGAGTAAATTCGTATTTCAAAACAAAAGGGGAGAACCTTTCAACAAAGTTGTCGACCTTCTCATAGTGTTTACTCTTCATCTTTTGAGGTTTCTTAATGGAATATCCCCATGTCGAATTCATAAGCAATTTGAGTGTCATTGCAAGTTTGGGGTTTGAAGCTTTCCTAATATCATACAGTTGTTGTATGACTTTTCCAACTGTATAGTTCCTTCCTGGGAACTCACCGTCTTCGTTTGGAATTCCAGTCGGGATATATTGGACGAACCTCATGTACGCAGCGTTAAGGTCGACATAGTATATCTTTTCATCTGAGTCGAACTTGTCGCAACCAATGGGTCCAGTTCGTGGAAATTCAAGTGAGTCTCTTATCTTCTGAGAAACTTCGCCTGCTATCTCATAAACATCGTCGAAGCAACCTGTTTCATATAAAACCTTCTGACCTAACTCAGATGCTCTCCAATACAATTTGACGTCAATTGGATGTCTCAATGGAAGTTTGTTTATAGCATCTTGAAGTTCTTGCAACCTCATTGGAAGTTCTTCTGGTTCAGGTTGGTATCCGAACAATCCAACTCCTTTTGGAACTGTGTACTTCTTTTGTGCTAGAACTTTGTCTGGAACAACTTTTGGTCTTGCTAACAATGAAAAGTTTGTTTCGTCTTTTGGTACAAAAGTTTCTGTCAGCTTGTCATCTGGAATTGGTTCCAACAAACCTTTCTCGAAAAGAATGTTTACAGCTCTGACAATGTTGCACTTGCCTTTTCCGAACAATGGGTTTGTAAGACTTTCGTTCAACATGAAGTGGTTGTGGACAATTACAATCTTCAACCATGGTAAGTCTTTGTCAACAACATAGTCGTCATGTGAAGAACCTTTAGCTGTAGGTATGTTGACTCGGATATTGACATTTGCCAACGGTGCAACTTTTGCCAATTGACCTCTGAGAATGTACCTTGTCTTCACACATGACTCAAGATACTTCATCTTCTCATCTGTAACAAGACCAGAGTTCCTGAGACATGTAAGAATACAAGGTTCATTGACAATTGTTTCAATTGAATTGTAAATTCCATACCTTGTCAAGTCAATGTCAGACTTATTTATGAACGGGAAGTATCCAGCATGTTGTCTGACTGCTTGAGGGTTAGGTTGGTACCATTCAAATTTTACACTTGCAATTCCTTCAATTGCATTCAAAATGTCTGAGTCGGAGTCAACCATTTGTTCTCTCTTTGTAGTCTTGAAAGCGTCAAGAAGCATTGCAGCTGTTGTGACATTGCCATGTGCAGTATATATGACCGTCCAAATCTGTTACGGTTAGTCTGAGATTGTATCCTTTCTTATTTCCGTCTTGTATGGCAGCAAGTACTCCCATGAAGCCTTCTTTGTTCTTTCCTTCGTCAAAGTTTACTGTAAAGGTTCGACCAGATGTAATTTGACTTCTAACTTCACGGTACTTTTCATATGCATATCTTGTTCTTTCCATGGGAGCATGTTTGTCTTCACCTTTTCCTTTTTTCCTTCTCAAAGGATGCAATTGTTCGTCGTGTTTCCAGTAGAATCTGGCAAAGCCGTCGTGTCCTTCAACTTGAGGTTCAGAAACATCGAAAGGCATGTCCATAAGACGTTCTTCTTCTAACCTCTCTAGTCTGTTTGGATAATTGGCGCGCGCTGTTTCCAAGTCCATTTCATAGCGAAGACCAGACAGTTTGTCATAGACTTTTATGGGTCTTCCCTTCCTATATTTAAAATTCTTCGAAACTTTCCAACCATATCTTTCTAACTCTGCTTTTATTCTAGCAGACTTTCTATCCATTCTATATGGGGGCATTTTTATAAAAAAAAAAAATGTTTTTTTTCTTTACTTTACGTAACCACCGGCTGCCATAAGTCTTTGACGCCAACCCATACCAGCTAATGAAGGTTGACTAACCTTTGGTTTTGGTTTATCTTCAGTTTTTGGCTTCCCTTCTTCTATCGGTTTTTCGTCACTTTTCGGTTCCTCTGACTTTACCTCACTTGCAGGTATGGTTGTGTCGTCAACATCTTCATAAATATCATATGCCATTTGTTTTTGTTTTCCTTTCAACTTTTTGTGTTTGTTGTAAAGTTTAGAATATTTCGACTCTAAGTCAATGAGATGTTCTATAATGAACTGTTGGTCAGTGAAGTAAACTTTTCCATCTGTTGTCTCGAAAGCTCCTTCAGACTTCAATATTTTATTTGTGAGAGTCTGTTTCTTTTTTGAGATACTAGCCGTTCCATTTCTATGAAAAGTGACTTTGTAGTTAGGGTTTGTATTTCCAGACCTGGCACTTTCTATTATTGAATTTTTCTCTTCATCTGTAAGTTCTTTGACAGGTTTTGACAATGGTTCTGAACTTTTTGTTTGTGGTGTCAAATCTACCGTTTCAACTTCTTCGGTCATTTCATCTCAGTAAAAAATTTTAGTTTGGTTTGTTTTCAACTGGTTGTTTAGGTTTTTTAAGTCGGTCTAAAACTTCTTGAGGTATAGGAAGAACTTGACAAACACGTGGTTGTGTAACTGCTGGAAGCCGACAAATCCATCTTGAGCCCATTTGTCTCAATGCTGTATTGTTCATTTCATCTCAGTAAAAAAATTTACATTCCCCACGTTTGAGGCGGTTGCGGTTGGTTGTTGTTTACCCACTGTTGTGCATGGTTATATCCTCTGTTAAAGAATCTTTCACCTTGGTCCATGTAGTGCCCTGCTTGGTTATAGTAGTCATTTGCTTTGTTATAGTAGTTTCCTGCTTGTCTTCCTACATTGTCCATCCATCCTTGAACTTTTCCTCTTGTTTCAGGATTTGGAATAAGATTTGCTGCATCTCGTGCTACATCCCAACCTTTCTGTACAGTTTGTATAATAGGTTGTGCTTTCTCTTTAAGTATACCTAATGTACTCAAAATCTTCCTTCCAATTCCAAATGCACCTCTGGCTATTGTTCCCACTGCGGGCAAAAATCTGGATGCAACTCCTGCTAATGCGCCAAATAAACCCATTTCTTATAGGGTAAAAAATGACGAATCCAAACAAGGACCCCTATGTTTCTAAGGCAACAAAGAAAGCACTCATGATAAAAATCTTTAGTTCAACACCAAATGCTTGGTTTATGGATATCTTGGAAAACATTCCGAGGTATAGAGAAGATGGACCACCATACTGGCTAATATTTGTCGGTCAAAACACAAGATACTGTGAAGCCATACCATTACAGTCCAAAAATATTTTAGATGTGAAAACTGCTTTGACAATATTTGTTGACAAATACCATCCAACAAAACTGACATCTGACTGTGAACGTTCTTTCAAATCAGACGATATTAAAAACTATCTGCGTTCAAAAAATGTAAACCAATATTTCATTGTCGACCAAAACCATTCTGCTCTTGGTGTCATTGACAGTTGTATAAAAATCTTAAGAGACTTAAATCAACCACAAGGTGGTGAGGTAGATGAAATGTCATATGACGACAAATATAGACACTTCTCCATGGCAAAGATGAGACAAGTTTTAAATATTTACAATAGCCGTAAACAAAAAGGTTTGGGAAACCACTCCCCGAAGAAATGAAAAACAACCCCGACTTAGAGAAAGACTATATATTTAATAGTTTAGTCAAAAGAGACAAACAAGAAAGAATGCCAGGCTTCAAACTTAAGAAAGGTGACAAAGTAAAAATAGAAATACCTAAACGCGACCCATATGAAAATACTATTGACTATGACAACAATGGGAACTCGACAGGTACTCGCATTCGTGTTCGTAAAAATAGAAGAAAGTATACAAGAGAATATTATGAAGTTTTAGGCAAACATGGCAAAATGTACACACTGCAAGCAGAAGATAAAACTACTATTGTCAGACCTCGTTTCAAACTTGTCAAAGTTCAAGGTGGTATACTTTCAAAGACAGTTCCTAACAAATATAAGACAACTCCTGACGAATATGCTAAAGAAGTTGAAAATGACGACTAAGCATTTCTATACCATGCGTAAACTGTCATGTAAGGTGGCATGTAGTCTTTACTCTGTCCCGTTGTTTGCGTATACCCTGAAACGCGATGTGTATGGCTTCCTCCTACCTCAGTGTTACTCCAGTAACAATTTATAGCAAACTTAACGTCCTCTTTAACATCATATCCTTTACCTTTTGTCATTCCTGACCAATCCCAAAATCTATGACTATGCAAACCTGCTTCAGATGTACTTAAATTTATGTAGTGACTGTGCGCAGGTAAATTTGCACCTGAAATCGTTTTACTTCCACCTGTTTCCTTTGAAGAGTTTGCACAATACAAAAACCTGTCGACTATTTGAGTCCAAGTTCCAAAACCAAGTACTACTTCTGGTCTGGTAGAGTTCATTGACGTATAAATAGAGCCTATAGGATATAGTGTTTGAAGTATTTCTGTCTTTAACGTTTGAAGCTCTGTTTTGTCAGCTTTTTTATCTAACTCATCGTTAACATATGTTTTGTCAGCTTTTTTATCTAACTCATCGTTAACATATGTTTTGTCAGCTTTTTTATCATATAAATCTTGAGCAGTGAATTTAACTTTGTTTTCATCCTCCATGACATAGACATTTCTACATTTAATGTCTTTCATCGTTGTTATGTCATCCTCCGATGTTAAACCTTGTGGAAAGTTAGGAGGTTTCCAATTTAATACATCCCCACCAGTTCCATCAGGTTCTTCAACCGTTCCTGCAATATTTTCTATACCAACAGTTGCGAAGAAATCGTGTGTATGTCCAACGTCACTTTTCCTGTTTAAGGTTTCTTGTAAGTTTGTAATATTTGCAATGGTATGTGTATGAGTCTTTTTAGAATATTCTTTGTCAGCTCTTGTCACTTCACTTGACATTTTATTGTCAACATATGTTTTATCTGCTAGTTCAGGATGAGTATGTTCTTTCGTTGCATATGTTGCATCTGCTCTGTCATGTTCTTCTTGAACTTTTTCAATGACATACTCTTTGTCAGCTTTGTTGTCAATATCTGCCTTCAAAAGAAGTTCATCTATAGGTTTCTCGTTTAAAGTTCTTTTTGTTGGATTTATACAAACAGTATGGTTCTTACTGTCTTGAAACAGAAACTCGTCTGTCATTGGGTTTATCGTCAGTTTTAAGTTTCCTTCTTTCAATGACTCAGATATCTTAGAATAGTTTGAAAAGTTTGTTGTGTTCTTATTTAGAGCTTGCATAATGAGTTGTCGGTTGTGTTGTATTTCTCTCATAGACGCTGTTTCTTTCGACATTTTTATTCTAGATAAAATATGCTTCCAATAGAAAAAGAAAATTCAAGAGTTGCTACAACTAAACCATTAGATGAACTTTTTACGAATGTCGGTCAAAAGTTTGAGACAGAGACCGTAAAGCATGAAGGCTATCGTTTTGACTACCCACTTAGATGGCTAAGAGACCCATCTGTCACAAAAGCTATTGGCTTTCGTAGAATGAAGTTTGTGTCTGTAGAAGATAAAAGTTTTCCATTTATTGTAAGGTTTCATATAGATTATATATCTGAAGGGAAACGAAAAATGTGGGAAGAAATTGAGCTAATACAAGTTGACCTTTCATCTTCTCTACAGACTGCGTTAAAAAATATAGAAGATAAAATAAATTCATGTTATGCAAAATATGCTGATGAATATGCAAATACCGAGAGCACACTTTATGTGAGAATTGTATATGACAAACAAAATTCACAAGTGTCATTTCAAATCTACGAAGACAATCCAAAGAAAGACGAACAAATATATACAGAATTCACTGCAATGTCATGGTATTATTTGCAAAGAATGTTAAATCAGAAAGTCGAACTTCCTTTAGCAAATATTTACAGTCGATATGCAAGAGATGAACCATATTTATTTAAAGATGTTTTCGACCCAGCTGCTATTATTGTTCATGCTTCATTTTCTGGCGCCCAAAACTCTTTCTTATGCTTGGCAAATGACTTTTACGAAAAACCTACAAAGTTATACGAACCACCAAGTGGAAGTATTTCAGACTTTCAAGTATGGTTTACTACAGATGGAAGAAAAAGAATAATTCCATTATACCATGCGTTTTACTTAGAACTTAGTTTCATATACAACTACTATCGAACGATAAAAATATAATTTTTTAATACGGTTGAGGTGTTGGATTTGGTTGCCAACTAGACTGTGGTGCAGGTTCAGGCTGTTGTATAACAGGAGCTTGTTCTTCTGGTTCAGGGTCTTTAGGTATAATACCAACAAACTGACCTACTCTTTTACCAATATTTTTGACTCCGTTCCAAATTCCTTTTCCGACAGATTTTATTCCATTCCATATACCTCTTCCAACATTTCGAAAGAAGTTTCCTATTCTTCCAAAGAAACCCATTTTACTATATGTAAAAATCTAATGTCCGCCTAGTCTCTTACGTTTCCTGTTGAGTTCCATAGCATTCTTTAACTGGAGCTCATACATTCTGTTTCTCCTCTGGTAGAAAACATATTCTGGGTCAACTCCTGTGTTCGCGTCATCTGCATAAAGTTGTTTATATCCCACTTCAGGGTTTGTATAAAACTCTTTCCATCTCATATTTGCATACCATGGTGGCAAACCTAACGCAGCGTCATTTGACATGGCAGTTTGCATTTGTACATCTGTTGGCACTTGACCATAGTTTGCCATTGCAGTTTGTATTCTAACTTCATTTGGAATATTCTCTGGGTTTGGTTGTCCAGGTTGCTGTGCATTCGCTAAGTTCTGTGCGTCCATTTAATATTAGATAAAAATATCTCTTACGAGTACATATACTGAACATTTGCAGGCATTGGTTCATCTTCATATTCTCTATATCTTTCTGCCACGTCAAATAAGTAAATGACACAATGGAAAAAACCTAAAACAAGTAGTCCTATTTCAAACCACATTTACTTACTAGTAAAATTTCTTTGTTATGACACTTTCTCCAGTTTATAGGACCTCTCTCATATTCTATCTTATCGTATCTAAACTCATAGTCATGTATGTCCTCTAACCATCTCATGACACTTTCCAAACCACTTTTATCGGATGTAAAGTAAAAGCATGGATGGTTATGTAAAACGTCTAAAGTTTCTAAAGAGTCTCTCAAAGTCCAGTCTACTTGGTATTGAAAATCCCATGTGTTATAGAACGGTGGGTCCACTATAAAGAAAACATTTTCCTTGTCTTTATATTTTTCATACAACTCTGTCCAATGACATCTCACAAACTCTATACCCTCAATATATTTTTCTATGTCCTCTTTGAAAACATTTGTATAGTTAAGATATAAAACTTTTGACATAAGTGTTTCAATGTCATGAACTCTTATAGCACCACTATATAATAGTCTAGCAGATATACTATCCCAGTCTATATATTCTGCTTTTTTCAAAACCTCTCTCACAATATTTTTCTTATCTAATGGTATACGTTCCATCTTACCTATAGGTATCTTTTTTTTAACGCTTTCAATATATTGTTTGTGTCTGGAATATGTTTGAGACGGTCCATATAGTTGTCGAAGTCATTGCATATAATCTTTGAGTCAGGAAATACAGTATGGCACAATGGGATATATAGAAACTTCCACCGAACAAATCTACAAATGTTAGACCATTCGGTAGTTTCTTAAGTTCTCTCAATAGAATATCTTTACATCTACTCTTATTTCCAAAGAAGGGTAACGGTGGTTTTGTAAAATTCATTTTATATACAATAAAAATGTTTTTTTCCTGAAAAGTGACAGAAAAGTGACAAAACATTTACGAAGAAATCTTGACAAATTCAAGAGGGTAGAAAAGAGGTTAGAAAAGAGGTTATATCTAACCTTCTACCCTAAAATATATTTTTATTGAATTCTGAGTAAAATTCTGAGTAAAATGACAGATGTTTATATGACCCTTACTTGTCCGGTTTATAGGACCTCTCTCATATTCTATCTTGTCGTAAATAAAACTCACAGTCATGTATGTCCTCAAAACTTCATTTATACTAAACATCTTCAGGGCTAGAAGGCACGAAGTGCCTGGAAGCCCCACTACCTTTTTTTTTTTTTTTTTTTTATGTTATACATGTGTAAAACCATTTCCACAATTTGATTAATGTTAAATTAAGTTCATAACTATGAAATGACACAATAACAATATATTTGGACAAACATCTCTTCAAAGGCGCATCAGATAAAGGTGATAGGCAAATGATTGAACGTCTTGTAAGAAATTACATATGAAAAAGAAATTTGGAATTAAATTATGTAACAACAAATAAAATGTAATCCATTTATTCTAGTAAAAATCGATATCTTTTCATCATTTACTGATTTGAAAAGTGCCAAAAATGTCTCCAAGTAAAAAACACAAAATTTTTAAAAAATGAGCACAGAAGTTGCTGAAAAAGTCGAAACTACAACAGAAGAAAACAAGCAACCAGAAGAAAAGAAGTTAACAAAGGCAGAAAGAAAGAAATTAAATCGTAAAACAAAGAAACAAAGGATGGAAGAAGCAGCAAATCGTGTTAAAGAACCGTACGTTAGAAACAAGTTCCTCATTGAATACGAAGCAAAGATGAAACAACATCTCAAAGAAATGGAAGAAGAAAAACGCAGAAAAGAACAAGAAGAGATGATTGCTCAAGCTGAAAAGGAAGCAGCAGAAAGAAAACTTGCAAAAGAGAAAGAACTTGCTGATAAAACACTTACTCGTGACGAAGAATCAGGTTTAACCTATAGAGAGATCGTTATTGAAGCAATTGGTGCAAGAATGCAAGAAGATGCACCATTAGTTAGCATGAATGCAATTCTCGCATACTTCTACGACTATTTCAAAGATGGAGATAATAAAAAATTCAAAAATCTCCTTAAATCTACTGTTAAGCAGTTAGTTAAGGAAGGAATCCTCAGAAGCAAGCGTGATTCTTATGGACTTGATCATAAACATCTGGATCTCAAACCAGAATTCTTACCAATTCGTGATTTAATCGTTCGTAACAAACCAGCCGAGACACCAAAGGATGCAACACCAGCTGAGACTAAACTAGCAACTGAGGAACCAGCAAAAGAAGAAACTAAGGAAGAAAAGACAGAAGATAAAAAAGAGGAATGAAATATGTAAAATAATCGAAAACCAATAAAATATTTATATAAAGAGCTATTATTTGAATTACATAACTATAGAATTTTTAACTATATTTGAAATATTAAATATCATCTCAAATTTATTAATGCTAAAACCCGATGATCTTATGAAAATGAGTACTACACAAGCAAACTTAGCTATTGTCTTCAAAAAAATCATGATATTATTAATATTATTTATTTTTTCAATTTTATTTCTAAACTTGAACAAAAACTATTAAACACTCAGGATGTTGTTGGGATGGAATTAATAATGATAGCCAGATGGCCGCTAATTAATATAACTACTCATGTAATTGCAACAAAGACTCTTAAAAAAGTGACAATACTGATTTCACAAAATGAGCAATCCGCCATCAACTTTTCTTCGAAACTATGGTCAACCTGACCAGGAAGCTCCTCCAATTGTAGACTATACGCCTCCAGATGAAGTCTACGCCGAAATCATAAAAGTTCAGAATCGCCTCAAAAATTTGGAAAAAATCATAGATCAAAACCAAGAAAAATCCAAAAAACTTGGTACAGAGTGCGTAAACATCATGGGTGCCGCCGAAATAATAACGTTTGACCTCTTTTTACTCGATTATATTTTCAATTATGGCATCAATGCTAATCCTTTTGTCACATTTGTCGAACAGTGCGATTCCGCTGCCACTAAAACCGAAGTTGAACAACTCGGTGGCCATATAAAATACGTCTACAGATCAATGGAAACAGCTGTTAGCAATATAATGAAAAACGAGATAGAAAGAATTGAGCCAAGGTCTGTCAGACCTCTTTCTCAATACGTTAAACTGAAAGAATTCATGATTGGCGATGAAATTCAAGGAAAACCAGTTACGACGAGATTACCAACAAATGTACCTCAAACACCAACACCTGCAATCAACATTCCTCCTGAATTCGATGAAAGAATCAGAAAAGAACTCGAAGCTGCAGAATTATCTCAAGAAATTTTACACTTACGAGGTGTTGTTGGCGCTCTTTCCCATAAATTGGCGGACATTGATAACATCCGTGCACAAATAAAGGCTCTAAAACCAAAGGTTTCTGATACAAAAACGTTTTCAATTCAAGATTGCCCTCCAGAGTCAATTCTCAACTCTCCTTTCTACAAAGTTG